ATAGGGATTTCTTTGAATCAGTAGGTAGCTTTGGATAATGTGGGCATTTTAAAAAATATTTCATTTTATATAATCTTACATCATTTTTTCATTTTTTATGTGGGCATTTTAACCATATTAATTCATCTGAGCCCTAAACACATGAGACCTTTCCACATATTTGTCTTCCTTGGTTTCTTTCATCCAAGTCTTAAGAGTTAGTGTACAGGTCTTTCTCACCTCCTTGCTTACATTTATTCCTAGGTATTTTATTACTTTTGATGTTACTGGGAATGGAGTTGTTTTCTTTATTTCTTTTTTTTAAGATACTTCATTGTCAATATATAGAAATACAACAATAAGCTTTTATGTATTGATTTTGCATGCTGCAATTTTACTGAATTCCTTGTTTAGTTCTAACAGGATATTTTTCCTTTCTGATTTTTAAATAGTTCTTTCATGCTAGAGTATAGGATTTGTAATAAATATTTTGTAAGGGTAGATAATTCCCAGAGCTTAGAAGACTTTCAATATCAAAATCAATTGTATTTCTGAAGATAGTGAATGCTGAGCAATATTTAAAGGAAATTTATATTAACAGAAGGATATGCTATAGATTAAAGGGGGTTGAGACAGCGAGATTAATAAGGATCTACATTAGGATAGAGGTTGTGGGAATTTTTAAGATACACTACTCTGTCATCTTAAATGATATCAAATTATTAAAGGATAGTATCCTTAGTTAAGCAGACAGTTGGATGAGTTAGTAGAGGCATGAGATAAACAAAGCTCTGATTGATCCAATACAGCATCTCTCATTGTGAACTCTTAAATTTGCAAAGGGAACTCCTGTCGCTTTCCTATCTCCTTCCTTACCTTTCTTTGACAAGTAATTATTGATCACATCTTATAATAATCTAGTTTGAAAGATAGACCTGAAAAAAGGAATCTAAAATGAGAAATTGCTGTAGAAGGAATCTATTTCATACTAGATCTTTCTGAGGAAGTGATGTTTGGGGATGAGAACTAAAGGATGAATTGGAATAAAGAGTGGAGAGCAAAGCATTTCAGATGGAGGCAGCTGTCTGCAAATGCCACCATGCCAGGAAAGTGTTTCCATCCTGTGCTCTTGATCTTCTTCACCTTAGGGCTTTGTCAGTTAATACTAGTAAGAGTGTATCTAGAATGCCTGGTGCAGTATTAAATACATTCTTTGTAACATTGTTTGCTCTGTTGAAGTTACCCTTTTTGTCTCTTCTGGAGCCTCATTTTGTGCAGGTTAATTATTCCTAGTTCCTCCAGTGTGCTTTTGCCATCTTCTGGAATAACATGTGCCACTAGGAAAATACTCATAAGTTGTTTTTACAATGTTAAATGATAATATTAGGTAAATTTATTTTGTAAATAGTATTTGGTGTTACCAGTGATACCAATCCATCTGTCTTTTTCAAAAGATTCAAGTAAAACTTAACTTGTATTATTGTTTAAAATATACCAGATATAAAGACTCACTATTAATCCATTACTTATCTAGTCATTTTTGTGGTTATTTTCCTCCTTTTACTCAGCGCCCATTGCATTTATATATAATTGTAATGAATTGAATCATATAGCTTGTTTTATCCCCTTACATCACTGTTAATGCATTTCCCTGCATGTAACTCTTCTAAACATTATTTTTAATGGCCCAATTATTTCATTTAAGGAAAATTTTTCATTATTTTACGTAATTGTCATAATTCAATGTGCCTATAGGCATATTTGATTTTCAGATTATATTCCTAGGATCATTTCTCAGAAGTGAGACAATTGTCATTACCGTTTTATAAAGATAGCGATTTTCTTATGTCTTTATAGGGATAGCTCTCTTATGGTTCATAGTAGTAGAGATTTGGACTAATGCCTGGGCCTCCTGAGTTTTGCAAGAAATTATTTGCAAGAAATTACTAAAATAAAATGGTATTTCTTTGCAAACAAACAAAAAAGAATTTAGTCAAGTTCGATCCCCAGCCACCAGTGAGGGTCCCACATGGCATGACAGACCTCTCCTGCCCCCCGCTGCTCCCTTCAGCAGTGTATTTCGTCAAGTCTGCCTGTCCTGTTCCCTGCTCTGGCTCTGGTGAATTCTCTCACCCTCCCGCGCTACTGACTGTACCCAGTGCTTGTATAAATAAACAAACAAATAAATAAATAAATCTTTAAAAAGGAAAAAAAAAGCCAAGGTGAATATTTATATACAGAGTGGATTTTTAGAAGTATTTTTTTCTCCTCTGCTGGCTTTCTAAATTTTAAGAAATGTCAGTTCTCAAGCAAATTCATACCCCCCTCTGAAGATTTAGTTTACTTAAAGTCTATAAACACTTGGTTAAGTGGATCATGTTTAGTTTATGATAATTAGACTGTTAGGTTGACTTTCTCAGCCATATATTTCTCCTTGTAGACATGGTCTTTAAATCTATCTTTGTAGATTTTAGAGCAAAGGACAAATGTTGAAAGGTTTAATAAGCACCCTGATAACCCTTTTACTTCCCTGCTATCCTAGCTATAGAGATAAGTAGTTGGGTTCTTGTTCTTCGTCTCCACCCCTTCATGCACTTGATTTTCCTCCTACTATGCTGACTAAAGGTCATGAGACTTGGGCAATTGTTTGCTTGTTTTCTGTTTCTAGAAATAATGGCATAAAAAATAAAAACTGGAAAAACTTGTCTTTAAGTCAAATGTAAGATGATTTTCCTTGATACAGAGTTTGAAGTAGAAGAATCTTTATTTCTTTTTACTTCAAAGGATATAATTACTTGATATCTATTCTTAATGAAAATCATTTTGATTATTTTTTTTTCTTATACAACTGAACCTGGTCTTAAATTACAGCTATCCAAAGTATTTTGAAACACAGTACCCCAAGTTAAAAGAAACAGCAGTTCTGCGGCAAACTCTTACCCTCATTTGATGAATTAGTTTACTTAATATCTCTTACATCTGGTTTGGTTTGTTTTTTTATTACAATAATTATTTTAGTCTTACTGTCCATTAAGTAGAATATATGTCTCAAAAACAGAAAAAGGTAGAGATGAGTTCATTGTTTTAATTAAGTGTTAACTGGTTTTTATGTTATACTTAACATCCCAAATAGAATTGTTCTTGTCTATGTTTTTAATACATTTTCTATTTTTGCTCTCAACTTGCAGTGTTTAAAATTCAGTAAGATATTAAGAGATAAGCCAGAAAAATAACAGATGCCTAGGAGATTTAGTTAATCTGACTTAGATGTTCTTTTGATGATTGAGATTTTTATATGTACAAACAGTTCTCAATTTCACAATGAAGCAGAAATATCTGCTGTTTAATTAGTCAGCTGTCCTTCCGATAACAGGCAGATTAATCAGACACAAAAAGGAGCAGTTTGCCATAAAAGTTGTGCTATTTTGATCATTCACCTTTGAATCAGCAATAATATTGAAAGTTCTAAATGACTGTAACCATTGCATTTTGCCATATTCTAAAGAGTATTATTTAGTATTTTTTTCAAGGACTGTTTGTATACATTGGTGTTCATTTCATTTTCAAAATAATGTATGTAAAACAATACAGATAATAAGAGAAAATCTTTGAGCAGAAATTTTGTGCAAACATTAGTGATATTTAGAATATATTTCAACATCTATTCAACATTTTTCTTGTATCCCAAAATGGGAACACTTGTGCAGTTAAAATGTAAGCACTTATACAACTTCTGTGTTCTACTTTTTCCATCATTCTTTTGTTGTTGTTGCTTTTGTGGACAAGCTTTCCTTTTGGAATTTTATAAACCACTTTCAAAAAAACAAAACGCATAACATCGACTTAAGTTCTAGCAGATTGTCTCACATCTTTAAATAAATAATTTTCATAGTGAATTTCATTTCTTTGATATACAATATTTTAAAAAAATTTAGCACTGTGTTGTTTCTTTTATTTTATATATTTTTTACATCATTTTTCATTTTTGCACAATGTATGCATTTTCATCTTGGTCCATCATTCTTTAAATGCACTGAGATGTTTCTGCTTCAGTTCTTAACACTGTACAGTGTTATTTTAAGAAATAACATAAGGAGAACTTAAAAATAAGAGATCAAATTTGAGGAGTTACCTGGTTTAATCAACAGAGCTGAATTGAGAAAGGAGTAAAGGTAACTAAATCTTTAGACTGGAGGAGCCACGGTTAATGAGTATATAGCTTTCTAAGCATAATGCTGTGCCTGAAATGTAGTGTTTAATGGTGAAGCCTCCTTACTGATGATGAAACTACTGTATAGTGACAAATCTTGGAATTATATGTGAACTGGTTTATCTTTATTCCAGTATCCAGAAAGTATAATGCCTTCAAAGCCAGAGTTAGTGATTAAACTGTACCATTTTCTAATGGAGGATATAATATATATATCTCAATTTCTGAAATAACTAAAACTATGAACTAATTTTAATTACTTAGCTTGCGTTAAGTACTTGTTTCTTTAAACATTTAGTTTTAGATACTAAGCGAGCATTTGTGGTATAATACTTTTGTTATTAAATTTTACAAAGCCTATTTCTTTTAAAACCATTGATTTATTGTAACTGTTAGTAATCCTATGTAACGTATTAATAATTTTTCCTTCCTGAATCTGTTGAGAGGGTGCCAATATTTAATTTGACATATTTGGCGTTGATTTAGTAATAGTTTCAAAAATTCTTCTTGAACTAAAGGAAAGCTTTACCATTTTAATTAAAGATTTATGGAATGAACATTGACCTGCAAGCAACATTTTGAAATAATCTGAATCTTCTAGACACAGGTTAAATATAGCTTGTGTTTTATGTTCTGTTCTAATCTTAATTAAAGGTCTTTGATAACTGTGGGGTTAAGCTATGTCTCTTTTAGTTTATATGTTTGGGAAGGAGGCAGCAAATTCATTAGAAGGAAAACTATCTTTACGGTGGGGAGTAAAATTAATATTTGGCTGAAGCCTTACTTTGTATGTTGTGTGATTATTTTACAGACTCCAGGTATTAGAGCTCGACCTACAAGACTTCAGTGGTTTTGTGATCGATGTATTTCAAATAATCAGGTTTGTGTTTTATATCTGGTCTCAAACATCTAAAAATGAGTAGGAAGTTTATCATATGAGTACTTGGGGATTTGGGAGGTAAATTTTTATTAATGGAAGTTGAGTTGTCTTGGTTATTTTTTCATGTAAGAAATAGTTTATTTCTGGTTCCTGAGATAAAGTACAAATTCTGATTTGGATCCTGAGCATTTTAACTTGCTTTTTTGTACTTGATTTGAGCAGGCTAACCTTGTTTCCTTACCCGTTTAAACTTGCTTTAATCCTTAAAGATCAGAGGGTTGCCCAATGGAAACCCAGTAGAATTTCTACTTTGTCTTTCCACCAGTGCAGAATGTCTGTTCATATGACGACAATTAAAAGCTCTAGGGGAGGAGGAGTATAACATTTGGGTGGAGGAGTATTTTTAAATTAATAAAGGATATACTCACTGTATTCTTCCCGTCCTGTCCTGCACTCCAATACCTTAGAAAGTCTCCAAATGTACCCTCATCAAGTTTCCTTCAAATAGATAGTCATTCACATGTTCTTTTCCCCAAAGAGTTCTTCAGTTCTTTAATTTAAAAACTAATTTTTTTAATTGTGTTCAACTAAAATACATATAACAAAATGTTTCATTTTAACCATTTTTTACAATTTTACAGCCAATATATATTGCATTGTCATTAAGTACATTCACGTTTCTGTGCCCAGCTTTTAATTTCTGAAGTGAAATTAATCTGTCCTTTGGGTAAAGCTATTTTGAAGGATTATTCAACAAAAATTTGTCAACTATAAAATAGATCCTTTACACAATCCATATCATCTGTCAATCTTATTTTTCAGGTTGAAACTCTAGAAAAATTAGTGGAACTGACACAAAAGCTGTTTGAATGTGATAGAGACCAGCTGTACTATAGTCTACTAAAACTATATAGTAAGTAATATGACTATTCCACATATTTTTATTTTGAGACATTTTTTCTGTTGAAGGCAGTGGCAGGAAATGAAGCTCCATGTATGTCAGTTGTAGAGTCTATAATAGTGACCAAGGCCAGGTTGAACTTTCATCACAAAAAATTGTATTTGCTAGATAATACACAATCTTCATAATTTTGGATATTGTTACTGTAATAATGAGAAGGTAAGAAAAATCTTCAGAGCCACAAAATTTGGTAGGACTCTTTCAAGGAGAAACTGTTTTTCTTATTTAAGTCCTCTGGTAGGTTTATTAGTCACTTCTATAAATAAGTAATCATCAACTCATTCATCTGTATAGATCTTTTTCCAGGGGAAAAAAATGCATATTTATATACAATCTCATTTATAAATATTTAAAAGAAATAAGTTCTTTTAAAGTATGGTCTATGATAATAGTTTGACTCGACATATAACATTTTCCTGCATTTTATCACCTACAGGTAATTGATTGGTATACTAGAACTTTCTAAATCCATCTCCAATTACTAGATACGTGAATAGATTTTCATTTTTCCATATTATACAACTCTGCATTATTCATCTTTGTACCTTAATCTTTGTCCACAACCTTAATTGTTTCTTTAGGCTGATTTTGTATTTGTAAAAAGGGTGAAAAAAAATTGATTTTTCTGAAACCATTGATCTTTATTATCAAACAGTGCTCTGATATTTTTTTTTTTATTTTTTTTTTTTTAAAGAAACTCTTATTTTTTTTTTTAAAGATTTTTTATTTATTTATACAAGCACTGGGTACAGTCAGAAGCGCGGGAGGGTGAGAGAATTCACCAGAGCCAGAGCGGGGAGCAGAGCAGGCAGAAGGGCCGAAGTACACTGCTGAGGGGAGCAGCGGGCGGCAGGAGAGGTCTGCGCGCCATGTGGGACCCTCCTCCGGTGACCGGGGAGCAGCCGGGGATCGAACCGGTGCTGCAGAGGCTGCAGGCAGCTTCGCAACCAAGCGCTCAACCGCTGCGCCACCAGGGAGGCCCAGTGCTCTGATATTTTTATACCAATTTATGCCTTTGGGAACATTGCAGTTTCTTTTAGGGTATTTGAGTAGTAACAAAGTTGATTCATTTGTTTTTTATTATCACTGGTAGTTTTATCTTACATCTAGATGACATAAATAAAATAAGATTTCGCTGCAGAATTTACAATTTAGTTGTTGGTTGCATGGAACTACAGTCTTCACAGTATAATTCTTAATACTTTAACTTAAATAATGATCAAATCCTGGCACATAATGCAAATATCTCTATTAAATATATAGAATTAAAAGACTTCTTTTGGACACTTTAATCTCTATTTGAGTGCTAATTCTTTCTCTTCCACTTTTTTTTCCTTTCTTTTGATGAAGTATTTCATGCAAATTTTTTTCACAATTTTTAAAAATCATATATATATATATATATATATATATATATATACACACACACAGATGCAAGTCTTGACATTTAAAGTAGTCTTCATATAATACCAGAGAAGAGGAGAGGTAGCCAGTCTCACACACTTAATTTCTCCTATTCACATGAACTTTTGCGGTTCTATTTTTCAAAGAAAGAAAACCTTAAAATTTCTTTTAAGGATGAGGAGCTCTGAATCATGAGAATGAGAATGAAAGTCAGGAGAATCAGGAGAAAGTCAAGAGAATGTTTTGTACCTTTGTGAGACCTGAAACACCATTATGGATTTTGGTACACTGATTAGTTTGATTGCCTTGAATTTTTTTGTGATTCGGTTACATTTCCAAGAAAATTTCTCCCTTCAAAAAAACTATATATAGGGCCCTAATTATAGGGCTGTCCATAGCCACTGCAGCATGGGTTCAATCCCCAGCCAGGGAGCTGCCCACACGGCTCAGCAGACATCTCCTGACTTGCCCGCTGCTACTCTCAGCAGTGTACTTCGGTCAATCTGCCTGTTCTGTTCCCCACTCTATCTCTGGTGAATCCTCTCTCCCCCCCACACCTCTGGCCTGTACCCCAGTTCTTATATACATAAATAAATCTTTTTAAAAAAAAAAAGCTGTATATAAAGTCATGCTATATACATTAATTATCTGTATTTTTGAAATATTTTCTTTTTATAACATGCCAGTCCATTTTATCAGATGTATCTCTATAATATCTTGTCCTCCCAGTATGGAACTTTCATATGTGCCTCTTTTTAAGAAGAAATTATCTTCCCAGTATTCTTTTCAGTCTAAAGGCACAGATTTATAAATCATCCACCAACCTTCTCTTTAATATTTGGAATAGTCATGTTCACTTAAAAATTAATCTCTTTAAAAAGCACCTTAACATTGCTCTTCCCATCTCCTGGAAACCTTCCTTAACTGTGTTTCCACACACCAAGGTACCCCTTTGGCAGTGAACACAGTGCTCCAGCCCCTTCTACAAAATTAAAGATTCTTGGACTTGTGTTTTTGTTTTTAACTTACTTAATTTAATTAAATATGTTATTTAATTAAAGACATTATTTAATTAAATTAGTTTTTCACATTGACACACTTGAAGAGTTACTCTTGAGTTCTGCATTACATGGGAATATTTTAATGAAGGAAAAGTAATGAGAGTTTTATTTGAAATTTGATTGTAAATTGAGGGGTTTTACATTGCTTAGACTAATTTTTATCCAAATATGTATAAAAGCAGTCTATATTTTAGGTTAATTTCTACTTTGGGAGCCTCCATTTACTATATTCTGTGTGTAAGTTGAGGCTTTCTGCATGTCTCCAGAAATTTTCCTGCTCGTTATTTACCATTTTCTTTCTTGCAGGTTTCTGATAGCGTGTGAATGTGTTTTGTTTTGTTCTTTGAATATTCTACTACTAAGGAGTCATTAGTTATGAAAAAACTTAGCTTTTCAATTTTGAGGGGAAAATTTGGTTCATTTTAGTATTTGGTTTTTTTGCAAAACATGTTTTGTGTTTTCTGAAACACGCTCTGAAACCAAAACCCCCTCCCTGGACCTGATGATACATAAGATATTCTGTATTCATATTTATAAATTTTTACACAAACAGCTCATTTAAAGTAATATTTCTTTTGTGCCTAATAGTTGTATTGAACTTAATCTCTGTCATATGACTGTCCTATTATGCCCTGCTTTTTCACCAGCAGAAGTTTATTAAATCAAATAACTTGACTTTTTTCTCTTTTTAAAAGCCACTTAAGTCTTGATTTTTTTTTTTTTAAGATTTATTTATTTATGCATACAAGAGCTGGGGTTCAGGCCAGAGGCGTGGGGTGTGAGAGGATTCAACAGAGACGGAGTGAGGAACAGAACAGGCAGATTGACAGAAGTACACTGCTGAGGGGAGCAGTGGGCGAGTCAGGAGAGGAGTGCTGTGCCATGTGGGTTGCTCCCTGGCTGGCCAGGGGATTGAACTTGTGCTGCAGAGGCTGCAGACAGCTTCATAGATTGTGTCTTAACCCCTTGTGCCACTGGGAGGCCCCTTAAGTCTTGATTCTTTAAGATTTTGCTATTTATGAAGAGTAGATTGCCACCTAGAAGAAACTAGATTTTTCGATCTGAGGGGATTACTACCTATTTCCTTCCAATAAACTTCCTGTCATCCTGTAATACTAAGTCTGATAGCATTATACGATGAGATAAGAAATCTATTACACAGTTTCATAGAAATTCTTCACGTCAGCAGAAAAGACCAAATTCTCCTTACTCAACTGAAAAGTGTTGATTTGTCACTTTTGAAGAAAATCATACATTTGACTTTTAGTCATTTTAGACCTTCAGTTGTGTACTATGCTAAATATATGTATCCCTCAGCTTCCCAAAGACTAAAGGACATAGTTGAATTGTTATGTTTTTCTAGTTTGGATTTCCGTAATGAATGGTTTTTTTCTTAGTTACTTTAAATATACAGACAAGCTTTTTATCAACATAATTTTCAACATGTTTAATAAAATGGTGGGGGGTTGATAGATATTTCTATGGTTTAAAATTTTTAAAGTACAAAAAGGTATACAGAAAGAAGTCTTCTCAACTTTGGTCCACAGTCATCCTGTTCTTGTCTTTGGAGGCAATATTTGGAATAAATGCTTTTTTTTCAATGTCAAATAAAAAGTTCTTACTATGTTCATACAGTCTGATTTGCTTGTTGTTTAATGTGTTCTTCACTCAAATTTTACAGAAATAAATGGTGACTGGCAAAAAGCTGATGCTGTCTGGAATAAAATGCAAGAAGAAAATATTATTCCTCATACGAAGACATTAAGATTATTAGCAGAAATCCTTAGAAACAGTAATCAGGAAGTTCCTTTTGATGTACCAGAGGTAATTTGTTTTTAACTTGCAAGCATAAAGGATTTGTTGTCAATGTAACTTTCCTTCAGAGATTAGCACAGTTTTACTGAAAAGATGATTATTTACCAGTTTTGTGTAACTGAATAATTCTGTTTTTAAGTTGTGGTATGAAGATGAAAAGAAGCCCCTGAATTCTTCATCATCCGTACCCGTAGAAGCCATTTTTCAGAAAGACCTATTAAAAGCCTGCCAACAGAAGAAGAGCAAAGGTAGACATGTACCCTGGGGTCTTCTTTCATGGAATCGAGGAAATTAGAAGTGTTCTTGTTAGGAGTTGGAGCTTAGATTGTACAAATTATTTTATTGATTAAATTTACAAGGACTGGAGCAATTGTGATCGTTTAAATATTGACTGAGTAGTAGGAAAGATTAAGGAATGGCCCTTATTTTATAGATATGATAATGCTGTTATGATTTATTCGAAAATGTCCTTAAATTTCGAAGTCTATAATAAAGTATTGAATGATGAGAAAAAAAATTAGATTTCTGTATTTTAATATACTTACAGGTTTACATTAACAAATTTGCATTGAAAATAGCATGATCATGACTATTCATTGACAAATATTTATTACATGTTTTGCTTTTATTTGAAAGGAATAAAGTTATTAGGTCATTGGCCATTATACTAGTATGTGTTAAAGTGATCAGACAATATCTTGAGGTTGGAGGGAGGACATGAGCTCTGTTTCTTTCTCTTACTTTCCTTTCTGAGGGTGAATTACCGGAGAATACACCAACCTCTGTTGTGATTGCCCTCTGACACCAATTTGCCTGTTGCATTCTAGATCTTTTCATTCAGATTTTCTTGTACTCTCCCCAAATCATGTATTACTATTGTTTGTTGTATTTTTGTTGATTTTTCTCCAAATAATGCTGTCATTTTCCTTTATTTTGGGGGGGTGGATTTTCAGGTTATATTTTGTGATAATTTAACAGTTAAGGAAAGAAGTACAGCGATTTTTTTTTTTTTTTTTTCATTTTTCACTTTGGCAGTTTTGAGCTCTGCTCAGTAGAAAGAGATCAATTTAGAAATTTATAGACCCTCTTAACTTCTTGACTTAATTAGAAATCTTATAACACGGACAGAGTGAGGAAGAATAAGCTAAATTCATATGCTTTCTCAGTCTTGCAGAATAACTTTATTCTTTTTGAGGCCCTTTCTTTTGCTTCATATTCAGTCTGCACATCCTTGAAGCTTTATCTGTAAGCTAACTATAAAATTACTAACCAACATAAATACTACTGAAATAGTCTGATAGAATTTTGGCTTGACTAAAATGAATATAATATATAGTTTCTGTTTAAAGATTCAAAAACTTCATAGTTGTCTTCCTTAAAAATGTGTTCTTTTTAAGAAAAAACATTTAACCAGTTAACTAACAAAATAAAATGCAATGTTTATCATAAATGTAGAGATATACCCCTATTCTAGTTTTAATATACGGTTTATATTTGTTTATATTTGTCTGGTTGGTTTCATCCTATCCTTGAGAGGTTTTAGTTTTGTGTATATATGAGAGTTCAAATGTTTAGAAAAATATGAACACTTTGAAATATGATGTGTACGTTAGCACTTTATTAGATTTCTGATAGTTCAGCACAAATAAAGGAGTAATGTCACTTTGATACTAAAAACAAACTGTAGTGAATGAGTTTGGTGTATTTGGGAGTTTAAAAAATAATAATAATAATGGAGAATAATAAACAGGCACACCAACTTCATGTGAAACAGTAATTTTAGCAAATAGCCAAGTAAGATTGTGAGATTATTTTGTTAATGTTAAAAATTCCAATTTTACTTATTGTATATTTTTATTCAGGAAGTTAATGAGTTATTAAAGCAGCTGTTAATTTAATGACAAACAGGGATTAGTCTATGGAGGATTTAAAATTTGATTAACTTGAGCCTCAAAGTTACTTTATTGACCCACATCATTCTCCTCAGTTAAGATGCAAGTATTAATGTCATATATTTTCTTATTTTCTCCAAATTTAGCTTGAAATGATAACTAAGTTTTTGATATTGTCACTTCAGTTTAATGGAAGGTTAGTGTAAATTCCCCGAATATATAAAACACAGGCATAATTTCTGCTTGTTCAGAAACCTCTAAAGAAGCTCAGAATGTTCTCCTGAGCATTATTATGTTCATTCCCTGTTGTGTGTTCTGTATTTCCTTACATCGAGCTTTATATCCATGGGAGACTGTACGTGATAGTTCAGCTGTGCCCCATCTTTATTATGATTTGTTTATACACACCAGAGAGTGGATTGTAGTTTCAGTTAGATGTTTATAGCCAGGCAATTTTATTTCAGAAAAGTAAGTGACTGAAAAGTGTAGTTACTTCTCTTTTGGTAACATCTTTTCATTCACTGACAGTTATTGTGAACAAGTGAAATAAAACTGTTAATCAGTCAAACAAATGTTGCTTAGTTTACTTGTTAGATATCTGTATATTTGAAAATTGTATGTTTTTGTATAAGTCCTGTCGTAGCCAAATAATTTGATCTCCTAATTTTAGAATTATAGGCTATATTCACTTTAGCGCTATTGTGTTGAAATGTTAACTATTATAAACACCCACTTATAGATTAAAGATAGCTTTAACATAAATCTTTAGCTCCTCTCAATGTAAATTATATGTCTGGTTTATTTGGACTTTAACATACATTTTGCCATTTGTTTTGAAACTGGTATCATCTTTGACAAATTCAGAAGCACTACTTATTGCATGAAAATAATCTATTGACTTTAGAAAACTAGTATGAAAATACATTTTAAAGGAGGCCCTTTTCAGATGCTATTCATTTGGACTAAGTAGTAGCTTCCAAGACTGTCACTTTGGTATTTTAAAGATTAGAAGAATGGCAATATCTGCTTGATTGGCCAGTGTGTGTATCAGTATGGAATACTATAGTGGGTGAGTTTAAAAGAAACAGAAGTATGTGGGTTTGGGGCTTTGTTTTAGGATTTTCCTCCCTTTGGCCATTCGGAATCATGTCATCTCATTTCTTATTTTTTTCTTTATAGATGCATATAATATTTTCCAGAAAGCACAAAAGCAAAACATTGTGTTTAACAGTGACACTTACATCAGTCTTATAAAATTACTGTTGTACAAGAGTATACTTCCAGAAGCAATGGAGGTGAAAGTTTTGTAAGTATCGGTCCACTTATTAAACCTCTCAATTAAAATTATTGACTGTTGTTTGGCTTTTCTAATGCGTTGTTATAGTAGCAGTTGCTTAAATATACTCAACTACCCACAAAAATCACGTGAGATAGTTTTCTAATTTAACCTATAAAAATATTACCTTTACTGACCCTGCACAGGACAGAATATTTTGTTTGTCTTACATCACCTCGCTACTCATTTATAATGTGCATATATACAGAAAAGTTGTTTTCATCATATTCTATTTCTTGTTTAGCAGCTAGATCTATATACCTTTTGTGATGGTAGTGGCTCGATAGAATGAAGACCTCAGGACTTTGAACTTAGGCAAGGGTTTGAATCTTTTTTCAAGCTCTGAGACCTTAGGAAAATTACCCCCTCTCTCTGAGCCTCAGTTTTTCTTCTACATGATGACTGGATGATAATAAGGCTTATGTTTAAGAATTCTTCTAGATATTTAAGGATCTAGAGTGCAGTAGAGAAAATACACATACTCAACACAGAGTCTAGAAAGGAATAGATCAAAATCATCTGCTCTAGAACGTAGGTCTGTTTTGTTGAATCAGTAACTTTATTTTCAATGACAAGTCAGTCTCTTCCTACTATCTTATCAGTTCTGAAATAATCATCTTGGCTAATTTTGGCCACCAGATATTTTGAGTCAAAGCACTGTCATAACATTAGAGTCCTAAATAGAAAATTGATGTTCGCAATTTTTGCAATGCACTGAAAACCTGGTTGTTAGTACTAGAGTTTTATTGAAGTTATGCACCGTAGTGCCATATTTACTGTTTGTGTTTCAGTACATTTTGAAAACTTGTTTCCATAACTATATTTGTGAAAAAATAAGCACACACACAGTATGTACATAGGAGATAGAGGGAGATTTATGTACACAAGTACAGTATACACGTGTAGCTAAATATCCGCACATAGTGTGTGTGCATGTGGTCTTGAGTCGTTTATATGTCTTGTAGTATAGTCACACTAAGGATTTTTTAAGATCAGGTTTTTATGTATTTTGTCTCGGTGTTTACTCAGTTGCTAATTAAATTATCTCTATAATAACTTGGTATGTCCTTACTTAGTGACTTGGAAAATTTGACACTGATCAGCCTCTTTTCATCTGTTAAAAACTGAAGTCACCAAGTTTTTTTTCTAAAATTAATTTTTGCAGAAAAATCATCTAAACTGTATCCCAATATTTTCCAAAATGATCAAAGATGCTCTGAAGCAACATTGATTTGAGAGGAAGGGAAGACAGAAAAAAGATAAGCATTTAGTGGTGAAAACTGGGTATGATCAAGTGAAGGGATAGAAGCAAAGAAAGAAACCTTTTTTAAAAAAGAAAGAGTCCTGAGGTTGGTGACTTCTCAATAATACAGCTTAAAATGTTTTCATTTTAACTGGGCATACTCTAGAACAGTGAGCCTCATATTCTTTTTTTTTTTTTTTTTTAAAGATTTATTTATTTATTCATACAAGCACTGGGTACAGTCAGAAGCACGGGAGGGTGAGAGAATTCACCAGAGCCAGAGCAGGGAGCAGAACAGGCAGACAGACGAAGTACACTGCTGAGGGGAGCAGCGGGCGGCAGGATAGGTCTGTGCACCATGTAGGACCCTCGCCCAGCTGCCGGGGATCGAACCAGTGCTGCTGAGGCTGCGCGCAGCATAGCTCTCAACCGCTGTGCCACCAGGGGAGGCCGGAGCCTCATATTCTTATAGTATAAAATGATTCCCCACAGCCTACCCCAAAGGTTCTGATTAAATTGCTCTCACATAAGGCCCAGGAATCTACTTTTTACTAAACACCCCTAGTGGTCCAAGAATCACACCTTAAACATTTTGATAAAATATCATATTTAGTAGTGAATGTGCTAATATTTCATTTGTAGATGTATTGTAAAATATAAAAACCTATTTTTCAGAGGATAACCTTTTAAAAATGAAGATTTAAATGTTTTCTTGCCAAACCCTAGAATGTTGACACCAGGTATATACCTCTCAGTGCAGACCATTGATCTGGAGTAGTTTTTTAAATTGCAGTTGCAACCAATGAATGGGTCATAGAATCTATTGAGTGGTACAGAAGCAATTTATTTTAATGAAATAGAATAGAAAATGTGAAAGAACTCATGCAGTCTCTTTATAACAACTACCTGTAAAATACAGGGTTATCTTCTCTCTCTAGACTTCATGAAGCCTTTCTTTACTCTTGCACTTCTTTTTATCTTAATTAATGTTTTCCTTTTAGAAATCTTTTGTAGATGCCTTTCCCATGTAGCAGTATGGGTCCAAAAGATTTCTAGATGCAAAGTCTTAGAATAAGTGCCTAATGACACCTGATTTGGCGATTAAATGCATATCTTTTTCAGGTGTTATATCTAACTGTGTAGAATTGTATCTTTGGTCACATTTAGCTTGAGTCCTTTCAAAAATAACTGCACAGGAAAATGAGAAGTGAAAATTGAAGTTCTAGTTCACCAACTAATGTTACTGGAAGAATATCACTTTTCTGGATTCATTGCCTACTTCTTTGTCAGCGTTAAATTAAATCATTTATTTCCCTTCCAGTTCTGTGGACAGAATGAAAGAGAATAGTTGCTTTTTTGAAAAGGCATTTTTCCTTATTTTTTAAGATTTATTTATTTATGCATACAAAAACTGGAGTACAGGCCAGAGGTGCCGGGAGAGAGAGGATTCACCAGAGACAGAGTCGGGAACAGAACTGGTGGATTGACTGAAATACACTGCTGAGGGGAGCAGCAGGCAAGACAGGAGAGGTCTACTGGGCCATGTGGGTCACTTACCTGGCTGGGGATGGAACTCATACTGCAGTGGCTGCGGATAGCTTCACAGGCTGTGTCTTAACCCCTTGCACCACCAAGGAGGTCCAGGCATCTTTATTTAATGTGTGACCAAATGACCCTCTGTAGTAAGTGGTGTTTTTCTGGCACTATTACTCTTGTCCATAAATAGGAGTCTGTTGTAATTACTTACATTAGGCTACTTGTTCAATCTTTAGAACAAGTTTTCCCTGTGAACTGAAAAATGCAATCTTTGTTTTTACTGTATCTTTCCTGTCTCTAAGATGTCACAGTTTCATTTGAACTCTAAGAACATTTCTTCAGTTATTCTCTAAGAACAGTTACTCTAAGAACATTTCTTCAAGGTCATTTAACCTTCCCAACAAGTAATGAAATGTCAAAAGTAACACTAACAGCTGCCTTTAAAATTTTTAAAGAAATCAACTTTTATTTTTAATTAGAATTTAAAAATTTGTCATGTGTCAGTATAAAAATTGGGCTATTTTTAAGTTCTTTTAAGGGAGGGGAACTGATTATTCAAAGAGTAGTAATGTTATAAATTATCTTAAATCTCTGATAACACTGAAGTGTTATTAGGGTATTTCAGACTCATGTGACAGTAGCTGTGCTTTATCTTTTGTGAATAGCATTTCATTTCTTCTTGTCCCTACTGACTTCCTATTTCATTCTAATAATAATGCTACATCAAACACTGATGGTTTTTACTGCATTGGCCAGTTTTTGTTATCCCAAGTTAGATAAATTATAATCACCAATTAATACCCTATGTACTTCCTGTTATGTAAGTACAGTCCAAAGACCAGTCATGGCTCTGAAATCTCTTATCACAAAAATTTGTAATACTATCTTCTTTGCTTAAGACAGATTAATTTTTCCAGTTGATTGTAAATGAAAAGATTGCTACCCCTTTCACTGTAATTTTTTGTTTCAGTTCAGCAGTTCAAAAAATGAATGTCTAGAATTCTTCGTTGTTTAACCCAGCAGCCACTAAACATATGCATACTGGTAAAAATAATTAAATATAATTAAGATTTCTCTTCCTCCAACACAACTAGCCATAAAACCACATGTGATTAGTGAACAGCATGGATAAAAAATATTCCCATCTCATAGGAAGTTTGATTTGATGACTCTGGACTAGATTTTTTTTTCCAAAAGAAAAGTTCAAAATTATGGGTCAGAAAGAAGTAAACTTCCATTATATTGTATAATTCCAACACTAAGATCTCTAGCAGTAACTGTAACTTTTCTGCTTTTTTTAGTTTGAAATATATTTTGGTCATTTAATCAACTGCTACGCTGGTAAAATATGTACATTCATTATATAGTGGATCTGGGGAGAGTTTACTCTTCCTAATAGTCCCATTGTCATACTTGTATTGAATAGACAACTTCTTGAGATAGGAGGAGATTATTGAAGGAAAGTGTTCTGTTTTTGAAAGGTTTGTACTTAGTCACTTGATGCCAGTTACAGGAGATTTATTGCCTTGGAGTTTTAATGAATTTTAGTTAATATTTTCAAGTAAATATGGTATAATGCATATAATAATGTTAGAATAAGAAGTGAGCTTTTAATAGTGTCTACTGTTTATTTAACCATGCCAAAGACAGAAAATAAATCCTTTATTTTATGCAGTTTATAGGCTCATGCACGAGTTGTTGATTTAAGAGCTTTGACAGATGGGACAAAGGAAAAAAGTCAAACTGAGCAATGGGTGCTTTGGTGGGATTAAGAGGCTCGATCAGGAGAATAAGAAAATCCTGTTCTGGGACTTCAGGGGTGAACATCAGAAGCTGAAAGTGACTGAGAGGATGGACTTGTCATGGTGTCTTTGGAGGATTTACTTGGGATTCGTGAGAATAATTTAGCAGTGACCCTGCTTTTTTTCCAGTCTGTTCAGCTTAGATGTGCACGTCGGCAGGCCAAGCAGTGTTGGCAGCAAGATCATTCCTGAGCTTGATAAGGCAAATGGCAACAATTGCTTTTGCTCCTTTCGACCTGTGGACATTTCCTAATCGGGAGATGAACCCAAGGGGCATTAAGGATGCTGAAGTTTCATATGTGTACACAGTATAACAAACAAATGTTTTCTAGCTGGGGTTGTTTTTTGGGTTTTTTTTTTTTTTTTTAATCCTGTAGGTTTTAGTCATAAGTGAAGCAATTTTTTGCTCCTGAGTTTTAAAAAGTTAGGGGGGTGTTTCAAATTTAAGAGTGGGACAAGATTGTTGTGCGAAATTTTTTATTTTAATGTAACAATGGTTTTAGTTCTGCAGTGTGCTGAGATTTAAAAACTGTATGTATCTGGATGACAGAAATTTGAAAATTAATCAACCAAATGATAAGGTGTTAGTTCGTAATATGCTTTCGTTTATGTTTAAAATATACAGTGCTGAAAATAAATGTTCATTTTTGTTGCCGAAAGAATAGTTTTACATTTTATAATTATGGTGAATGCAGAAAAAAGAGGAAAAAGTATCCAGCTTAGGATACAGCAGAACAATGCAGGGCATGCAGTTATTTTAGTCATCTAATATGTCAGCATTCAAGAATCTGAACCGATTGTTTAAAAAAAATCTTGTACTTTGTTTCTTTTGTTGCTCATTTCCAACTTTGTCATCTGTCAGAATGCAAAAAAAAATTATCCTTCTATAACCATTGACAGGATAACACAAAAGCTGTCTCCAGGTCGATATTTTGCAGCAATATTTTTAACATACGAACAGTAGTTTTTATAATTTCACCTTGGTGCTCAACCATTTATTATCGTATCAGAAGCATGTCAGTAATTCCTTTCTAAATGTCTGCTTCTTTTAGCGCTGAGACCCACATCAAGGGCTTCACACTGAACGATGCTGCCAACAGCCTCCTCATCATAACGCAAGTTAGGCGGGATTATTTGAAAGGTATGTCACAATGCTTGACCTTTACGTCACATTAATGCCTCTGCAGATTTTTCTTGTAACGCCCTTCGAATACTTGGATAAAGGAGTCCATTTAGCAAATTACCTGCTTATCAAGAGCCTTTTGTGGTAGCTGAGAGACGTAAATTACTGTACATGCATTTATAATACAGCTTGAATATGAATGTACTTGTCATTTGACCACTTAGTCCAGTTTCCATTCCATTTAACACAAGATGGGTTTTCTTAAGATGAATCACAGCTCTTCAGACATGCAAAATTTGTGTTCCAGAACGAGAGAAAGTACAGGCTTTCAAGTGCGTTAAAATTCACAGCACAAGTCATTTTGCTTTGGAAATTAACATACTTTAGAGCATCTGAAACAATTCCCAGCAGTTGTTTCTTGCATATTGTGTTGGTTGTGTGTGAGATAGCAAATGAGTTAAATTGAGTGTTAAATGTGTGGGATTGTGCACCAAATGATTATAATATTGATTTTTAAAACTTAATCTAATACTTTTTTAATAGTTCATAATACCAACAGCTATAAAATAGTGTTTGTTGAGAGTTTAGAATTTTTAAATTAATATTAAGAGGATAATACCAGAAAGATGTGGACATGACTTTGGGGAGGGTTGGTATGGGGGCGTTTGTTTGGCAAATGCTATTTATGGATTTGCAGTGGGATAGATTTGGATCTGGAGGGCTTATGAATGAGCTCCCAAGGGAGAAAATGATGAATCTCTTAAATTTAGGTAAGCATCTTTTTATGTTTAGTTTTACATTTGAATTTTAGTCAGTACAATAGCACCGCAGTTTTGCCAATACAAGAAGACCCACTTAGGTGATCTTGAAGGAAGATCGCAAAGCTCTTTAACTGTTTTGTTAGACTTCCTCAGACTAATAATGGTATTATTCTTCACTTGCATATTTGTAAGATAATTTCACATGCCTGAGAGGAAGTTATTGTGCCACCTTAGTGTTGCCTGTAGTATCTAAATGTGCTGGTCTGTAGATGTTCTCCTGATTGATTAGGACTGGGGCTATATATAGGAGATGATTTCTCCCTTTGCAGAATTTCTTGTTCAACATTCCACAGGCAGGACCAGCCCATCTAGACTGTCTTTTTGGACAGCCTTAAGTCACATTTTTGTGGTATTATTAAAACTTGAACGCTTTCATTTTGTTTGTAATAAAAATTCCTTTTGTCAAGTTGAAATTTTATGTGGAAATTATAAATAATTTTCTATAGATATGGAGATAAAAACAAAACGTTTTCTTCAGTTTCAAGGGTTGCAGTTTAACCCAAAAAAGAAATTGTTTTGTTTATCTTGACTACTACTCAATATTTGTATGTTAGGTATCCTTTGGAAACTACAAGAAACTCTATGATGTAATTTCACATTTGTTCTTCTCAGCTATTCAGCCCAACTAGAGGTTGACTGTGAAAAGGATCTTTGAGTCCACTGTCCTCCACTGCCACTTCCCCCACCACACTATCTCCCATTCCTTGCCACGGACTAGTCTTCTGTTAGAGTGAAATGACCATCAGCAAGGACGGGAATGAAGCTGGCACTATCTGCATTTCCTAGTTTTGCTCCATAGCTGAATAGAACTCCCTATTTTTCAAAATCCCGTCCTCTTTTTCTGTTTTATTTTCTCAATCCCTCTAAAGCAGGAAGAAAAAATGAAGTCATTTCAATCTTTATCTAATTTTATAAGCTAATACTATTTTGAAATGTTAATAGCTGCTTCATGACACTTTTCCATTATAGTCAGTATCACTCGTGAATTAGGTAACACTGAAAAGTACTGGGGGGACGATGTGGATGGTTGCCATTTTAGCATCCTTTAAGCCGTAAACTGCACAAAAGGCAGGTCCTGCATGGGAATGTGATTTAGGTCCCAAATCCCATCTTCTCTGTTGGAAACATGCTCTTCCACTTTCATGTATAGCTGCCCCCATAGAGGCAGTCTCTGGCAATTTACATTCTTGACTGGGTGTCTAATAATAGGACCTTAGGGAAATTAAACTTTTTATATCTCGGCTTCTCACCTGAATGTGTACATTCCACATTTCTCAGCTGACATTTATTTCAGAAGGGTATTTGTGAGTGTAGCTGCTTACTGTGTGCCAGGGATATAGTAAACACTCAATAAATGTGTGTTACTATCATTATCCTATTTTGTCATTATTTTGATCCATTGATGGGAAGATCCCGCCTAGTTGATGACAGTATCTTTGTTCATTGTTAGTAAGATTATAGTAAAGTTGATTATCTGTGTGTATGACCACCAGTTAAGATTCTGTCAGTCTTATTTTCTATGGGTTATATTGTTAAAGTATAAATAGCATTTTTTGTTTTCTGTGTGTACATATGTATTCATAAAATTTTGCTGAACCTGCTCTTTAACTATTTTCTCTACTTAGGAATGGCAGGTTTGGAGATTTGGATTAATTACAGACTGCTTATTCAGTAATAAATACTGAAGTCTTTTACTATATTTAATAGAGCGAATATCACCCATTCTTCATTCTTCTGTTGAAGATAGGCTCTTCTTAGTTGGAAGATGCTTTGAGGTTTACAATTTTGTATAGTTTACATTACTGTGAAGTTTTCTTTGGCAGCAGAGGTGGTGACTGTTATGTTAAATGTTACATTTTTCCTCCAGTCTACCCCTTTATATTGTAATTATTTCACTTACTTGCACATGAGTCAGTAAATCAGAAGGATATTCCATATTTGTCCATAATCAAGCACTAGTAGTCCGACTCTCTCCTGTGGCTAGATCCTTGGAATCAGGTGAGCTCTTTACTTTGAAAAGTGAGTACAAGAAAATATCTGCAGGGTTTTTAATCTAGTAAAATAATTTGCTCGTGTAAAAGCCAAATGTTCCAATTTGGTTGTTCCTATGTGACCTAACCTGTTTGGACTAGAGAGAGACATTGTTTTGACCAAAAAAAGTTTTTGGGATATTTGGGACTTTCCAAAACCTTGGGAAGATTTTGATAATCAGGTCATCTTTGAGTACAATAAAATCTGGGAAAGTATGAGTGTGGGTGGAAATTACATATTTTGGGGATAAACTTTAATTTTTTTAAATTCTTTCTTACATTTCTCTGAACTTACAAACTTCCTTGAAATTAGTTACTAAATGCTATCCCTGAAAGGTGTGCACATTCTGTTAGTATCATTTATATTTTCTTTGTGATTTAAAGAAGAAAGTTCTCTGATACCATATATAGTCAAATAAGTAATTTTTTTTTATTTCTCATAAAGTATTAATAGTCTCGGTAATTTAGAGTAAATTATTGATAGTTCTGTGTATATAGTCATTTGGTGCTTGGGTTTGAAAGCTGGTTTTCAAAATACATTATAAAGTCAATACAGTTTCTATAAGAAAAGCTCTGTTGCCTGTTCTTCTGTTGTAGAGGCTCTAACAACGCTAAAAACAACCTTTAGTTTGGGGCAGACACCCTCTAACCTCGCAGTGACCCGCCTTATTCAGGCATGTGCCTTGAAGGGTGATTTGGAAAGCATACAGGAGATTCAGAAGATGGTAAATGGACTCGAAGATTCGATCGGACTTTCAAATATGGTTTTCATCAATAACATTGCTTTAGCACAAATAAAAAAGTAAGTATTTTCAAACTTTTCCTCCATTGGGTGCTGGGAGGAGCAATATCGCAAATACCAAGGGCATTTTCAAAACTTTTGAGACTATTAGAACCATTTCAACAACTGAAAAAAAATACTGATGCCAAGTTGCTGATGATTTCCTATTCGAGAAACATTAAATATTACAAAATGTGTTTTAGCTCTAAATTTTAGAAGTAGCAATGTTTATCAAATTTTTCAAGCTCATAAAATTTACTCCATAGTTGATAACTTTTCTCAGATTCTTTTATGCCAAGCTTATTATTGTCAAAACACTTTGTTACAGAAGTGGAAAATGAGCTCATTTGTTTGTCAGCCACACTGGAGAATGACATTGTGGTGGAATATTATGAAACATAGGGCTCAGCAAGTTTGTTAAAAATGTGTATTTCTGCTTTCCCCACCATCCTACCTTTTCATCTCTGTCCACACCCAGAAAGGTATTTAAGGGTGATTCTCTTACCTCCATCTCTAGGTTCCTTTTTGAGAATCATCAGTATAGAAGTAAATAAGGACCTGCATTTTCATTAACCTCATTAGCAAAGTGCTTTTCTCCAGCTGAGAATTCATAGGGGTGATTATGGAATTGACACTCATGCTTTTTAGGAAAAATTGTTCGTTAGTGATTAATCTTACAAACACTTTAACAGGTTCTGGTATTGAAATGTTTTGTTTGTTTTTTGCAGGGGTTTTATTTGTTCCTATTTCTTGAGCAAAGAAACAGTTTTATGATTTCCTTTTAAAGCTATGTCTCCAAATAGAACCTTAAATTTTCCCTTTATCAAGAAAATGTGATTATTTTAAGTTGGAAGGTCAAGGAAATTACCTCAGTAATATCTGGATGAATTGTAAAACCTTACCAAATAAGCATAATTTTACATGATGTGGAGAACTTTTTACTATTAAATAATTCTCTAAAATCATTGGGAAAAAATACTATAAAAGTGTTCCTTTTTAGTTAGAGAATTCTTACAGTTCAACATAAAATGGATTATTTGCATTAAAAGTGCTAAATTATAACTGTAAAGTATGAATTTAAGAGTATTTTAACTAAAAGGTAGTCATAAAGATAATTTGTATCATTCCTTGTTAAATAAAGTCATGAAATTAGTTTTTAAATGTGAAGTTGTAAAGATAATTTTTTTCTGAGAATTTTTGTATAAATTGACTATTTTTCAAAGGTGCAATATCTGACAAAAATCACTGGTTGTGACTATAAGTTGAGAGACATGAAAATAACCCTTTCATATCACTAGCATCTGTCAGAATCTTGAGATGTTATGTGCTGCCTTTACTGCATGTAGTGGTGACCAGCTGTAGATTATAAAGCCCAGATTCTGTAAATTTTTAATCTTAATTCAAAGGAGCTGTGAAATCAAACATTTAAGATACAGTGTATTTTTAGGTTACTGTCATTAATGTTATGTATTGTTTGATCTTTTCTCTAGAGCAGTGTTTTAAAATAGAACAACTATTTTGATTTTTGTAATATAAACAACTTAAGTGATTCCTTTTGCCACCTGATTTGGTTCAACTGGTGTAGTGTCTTTTCTCTGGTTATTGTAATGTATTTCCCTTTTTTCCTGAAATATTTGCACTAAGTCCTCATTACCAAAAACTGCCTGCAATAGTAATACAAGCAATACTTCTTTTTAATTTATTTTACTTTCTTTTGTAGCAATAACATAGATGTCGCAATAGAAAACATTGAAAATATGCTTACTTCGGGAAATAAAACAATGGATCCTCAGTACTTTGGCTTGGCGTACTTATTCAGAAAATTAATAGAGGAGCAGTTGGAACCAGCAGTCGAAAAGAGTAAGTAGACTAAAGAATACAGAAATACATTCCCTCTCTAGTGAAACAGTACCAAATTTCTTTGGTGCATGGGTTATACTACTGTTTTTAAATGAAAGATTTTTCTTACCTGTCGTTTTTTCAGTAAGCATCATGGCAGAGAGATTGGCCAATCAGTTTGCAGTTTACAAACCTGTCACCGATCTTTTCCTTCAGCTTGTGGAGTCAGGCAAGGTGGATGACGCCAGAGCTCTCCTACAGGTAATGACCCACCACACTTTTGAAACAGTGAGGCTCATGGCTGATGAGGAGGAAATTGAGAAATATTTAGACATGGGGCAGAATCCTAGAGATGAAGTGTGATGCTGCTAGCACATTTAAGTTCCATGTGAACCAAGGTTGCAGGACAAGGACTGGATTGTAAATTGATTCCTGGTTTTATAGATGCCAAATCGAACTAGAAGTGTACTTAGATGGGGGTTGGGGGATGGGAGAAGATATGTTTTGTTGAAATGATGTAAAGACAAATGTTCTGTGCAGATAGGTAAAAACAAATCCTTTGATTTTCTACTTTAATTTCTCTAATGCTCTTAATACAGTACATCGTCATGGCAACACAGTTTGCAAACAAAAAGTAGGAAATGTTTGCTTTTCAAGTACAGCTTCTCACTTGAATACTCAAACATTCCCAGTGCCTTATTCAAGGTTTATTAAGAGTTGGATTTGCTTTCTATTCACTTGTGTGTCACAGACACATTAAATGACAAATGCAGGTCTCTGTGGCCCGCTCTCTCAGTTAAATTAGCAATCTTCAGAGAAGGAGACAACTGCATTCATGCCATTTTAACAGCACTAAATATAAAGCTGCGCCAAGTGCCGACAGAGCCGTGGGTGATCAGAGCTGCCACTGGCAATGTACACAAACAGGCGCCGCTGGGGAGCCCCTTCCCAGCAGGTGGCAGTCAAACAGTCACCGTGATCCCGCCAGCGGCTGTGTTTGTGTAGACTGTGTCAAATTGAGGCCTGGGACCAATTTCTGGTAGTAAATAGTATTATATTCGCTTACATTTTTATGAGCACAGAAACATCTTAAGTAGCAGATAGAGAAGGTAAAACCGTGCCCGTGTGTTTGAGCTATAGTTTTGATCCTAAAGTTCATCTACTTTGACAATAGAATACAGGCCATTTTAAAGAGGAGTTCCTGAGAAATTTCTCTGTGTTAACATGTTTGTAAAAAGTGTAAATTGGCACTGCCTCAGTGAAAAGCTTTTTTCACTTCTGTTCTGAGACAGAGAAATCCCAGCTAACTGAAGACTTACTTGCTTTGTTTGGTTTGCTTTTTTCCCTCCACCTTTTTTCCCTTTTGGAAATGGCAATTTATGGATAGGGACTTCAGGAATCTTTATTTTATGTTGTTGCCTTCAGTGTTAGTGTTAGAGGTACTGTCTTAAAAGGAATGAGCTTCTAATGCTTTATCTTCCTGTGTACATATATAAATGTCTACTGAGGGTTTTCACAGACCTAATTGTACGTGTGATAGTATTCCTTCAATTTTAACACATTGTTTTGATAGTTTTTTAGAAAGTGGTACTTGGTATTTCATCTACTAGCTTGTTCTGTGCCATAATCTTCGAGGCTCTTCTTCGAGAGCACGACTGACAGCAGCCTCGGGTGGGAGAAGCAGGGGTGTTGCCTGCTGCCCTCGGAGCTGCCTTTCCCCACAGCGGCCTGTCTCGGGCTCTGGATGACAGCTGAGTGTTGATGCAACAGCAGCAGTCTTTTTGTTTTCATTCCTTAAATAGACTGAGATTTCAGATGATAAACCCTGTACCCATCCTTTACCTGCTTGTCAAACAATAAAAGATTATTCTTGCTGTAGTGAAGAATACTTTATTCACAGATGTCGAAAACATCAGTTTATAATGTAAATGTTCTGTGTGTCCCCCAAAATTCTTTTTATACGATTCGTTTTAGTATTGACAATGTTTTAAAGCTTTGAAAGAGCAATGTGCTTTTAGAAACTTAAGAGAATGACATCTGTGATGAGTGTAAACTAAAATATTGTCTTGCCATATTTGATTTTACTATAGCATCTAAGATTGGATAGACACTTGATTTATCTGGTCTGTCATATAAACTTTTTTTTTTTTTAGTTTAACTTTTGTCTCTTTCTCAAGCACTGGCTGTCTGTTGCAATGAAAGCCTTTTATAAAATAGAGAGATTGAAATCAGTCCTTTTGTATGCATAAGTGTAGGTAATTATACTTTAAAGAGAACTTGCTTTGTACATTTTAATTTTTATAAAGAAACGAGCAGTTATCTCCCTGACACCTTATTAAATGTATAATTAACCTTATGATCCCTAGCTCACTTGTGAATGCTTGGCAGTATAATTGGAGAGGAATAGTGTTTCTTTTTTTCCTCTTTCTTTGCAGTCCTAAACCTTATTCTGTGGTTGTTGAAGCATTAGTTTAATTTTTCCCTTTTCTTTTTAAACAAACTTTATATACTTGCAATGCCAAGGACAGCATTCACAAAGCTTGGCATGGCTTACGCTTGTTTTTTTTCTTCTTGCCTTTAAAAAAAATTGGTCGACTATTAGGCTTTCCTGTTGGTAATGATACATTACGGTATTATTGTGAACTTTCTTAATTGGAAATGTTCACCTTGGTCTGCTTGTTTATCAAAAACCTTCACTTACTGAATAATGTCTCCATTTTTAGAGATGTGGTGCCATTGCCGAACAAACCCCAATTTTCTTGGTGTTCTGTGTTAGGAGTTCTCGGCGAACAGGAAAGGTAATGTGCTTTACTTGCTGACAAATTGATGATACTGTAAACCAGTCTTGTTCAATGATTTTGAGTGTCACATGAGAACTTGCTGGCCCTTGTTTACTTTTTGGAACTTTTTCGAACTTACTTACACTTTTTTGCTTTTCTGCAATGTTGATACAGTCACTTCTGGCTCCTTAGTTATACTGGAAAGGTAATACAAGTCCATGCAGTGGCTTTTCTATCCATGTGTCTGTGTATTAAGAGTCCCAGGAACGTTCCAAAAAACAAATTGCAGGTCTCATTTGACATGTCACACTCATTGCAAAGTTTTAAAGTGATGGTGTATTGTTGCAACAGTTGTATTGTTTGTTTTATATGAAACACAGATTGTTTTCAATCTGAGAGGTCTAACTTTCCTTAATTTCTACATACTTGTTACACACATAGACATACTTTAAAAAAAAATTACCTAATGGGCCTCCCGGTGGCGCAGCGGTTGAGCGCTGGGTTGCGAAGCTGCCCGCAGCCTCTGCGGCGCCGGTTCGATCCCCGGCTGCTCCCCCGCCACCGGAGGAGGGTCCCACATGGCGCGCAGACCTCTCCTGCCGCCCGCTGCTCCCCTCAGCAGTGTACTTCGGTCCTTCTGCCTGCTCTGCTCCCCGCTCTGGCTCTGGTGAATTCTCTCACCCTCCCGCGCTTCTGACTGTACCCAGTGCATGTATAAACAAAACAAACAAATAAACAAATTAAAAAAAAAAAAAAAACAAAAAAACATGCCTCTATTTAAAAAAAAAAAAAATTACCTAAGGGCTCTTTTATCTCTGACTCATGTATAGTTTACAACTTTTAGAAAATAGGTAGTTGCCCTTTTTTTCTTTTCAAATATAACATTTTATTTTGATCTGTGGTTAAAAAAACAAAAAATCTTTAAAAGTATTTGTCATTCCATATATGCCCACCTCCTGCTGCTTTTTTCAGAAAATGGACAGGAAATGTACCGTAATGTATCTGCTTAGCACTTTCCTTGCTACCCTGCAGGAATTCTGATGGGGTACATACAGGTCCAGATATGGATGGACTGAATAAGCATGCTAAAAAGTGACTTGGGTGCTTTTAAAATACCAGTTACACTTTCTGTTTGGCAGTAGAGTAATTAAGCAAGACTTAACTTCTTTTGACGCGATGGGGGCAAGGCATATAAGTGTATATAAAATCCATCTTTGGTTTATCCAACAATGTTGGGGAGCGTATTTGGAAATGTGGGGTGGTTATTCATTAGGCTGTGACAATTCTATATTCCTTATAGGAAGAGAAAGCCTGTGTCTGGATACCCCTAAAAGTTATCAAGAAAAATCCCAGTGACATCCTGGAAATATGCTCTATTTCTGTGCCAACTTGGAAAAAGTTAATGTTTGAATTCTTCATGTTTCATTAAAAAATTGGTACCCAGGGCCTCCCCGGTGGCACAGCAGTTGAACGCTGGGTTGTGAAGCTGCCCGCAGCCTCTGCAGCACCGGTTCGATCCCCGGCTGCTCCCCGGCCACCGGAGGAGGGCCCCACATGGCGCGCAGACCTCTCCTGCCGCCCACTGCTCCCCTCAGCAGTGTGCTTCGGTCCTTCTGCCTGCTCTGCTCCCCACTCTGGTTCTGGTGATTTCTCTCGCCCTCCCGCGCTTCTGACTGTACCCAGTACTTGTATAAATAAATAAATAAATCTTTAAAAAAAAATTGGTACCCAAAGATAGTTATTATCTCTTGTACCCTTTGGGATTATATAACTTCTTTGTATGATTACCAGTTGACAAAAGAAGCAATCTTTATAATATTTTAGAAAAATAATCATAGACATATAAATGGAATTGAATTCACATTTTTTTAAATGGTGGTTTGCTTGCCTGTATATTATTACATAAACATTAAATACTAAGATATACAGAAGGGGAAATAGTCTAGTCTATTAAATTGAATGGACTGTTCTGTTGTGATTATTGTCAAGATTTTCTGATGCACTGTCCATATATCAGTGTTCTGTTTCACTCTTCTTTTGAGTGGTGGTAATGTTGCCTATATTTAATTTCCTAGGCACAAACTCTGAAATCTTTGATAGAGTTGATTCCTGAATTAATTGAAAAGGAAGAAGCCTACACTTCCATCATGAAAAGCTATGGTAATTAATTTTATCTGACTATATTATTTTAAGTGATTTAAACATTTCTTATGTGGTCAATCAAGATAGTCTTCAGCTCAGTGGCAGTAAGCCTAAATATCAGATAAAAACTGATGATATGTATAATTTAGTTAGCTTTTGTGCCTTTTAAAACTAAGAAAAAACATGAAATTATTCCTATAATTTCAACATAAGGAAGTAATCATTGAGTATCTTCAGAGGGCCCGCCCACATGTGTTGAATAGGAACCCAGGCTACTGGGGAGATTTGGAAATCCACCGGAGTGCAGGAACCAATCTACGTGTCCAAGTCCCTGCACCTGAAATATAACATGTTTGAAACTGGCACTTGACTTACCTTCCTCCCTCTTCAGTATTCTCCCTGCTGGCCTACCTACTCATTTGAAATAACTTAACTCAAAAATGGGCAGGGTCAAGGGTTTTACCTTAAGTCACAGTTGAAATTCCACTCTTTGAACCAGTTTGTTCCTGTGCACAAGGCAATCACATGTGAAGGGGAACCAGTCTAGAATCCCCTCAGTAATAAACGTCAGCATCTTTAAGTTATGATCACCTCCGTCATCAGTCTGCCACCCACGGGTTTGCTCACTTGGGGCAGGGGGTCAATGAGGAATTGCTTTGTTGTGTTTTTTGGTTTTTGTTTGAAATCGGAATTAAGTTGGTTCTCTATTTTACACCCTTATGAAGGAACCGGGACGTATTTCAAAATAAAGTTGTAATCATAAACCTCAAAATTCCATTTGGAAGAATGAGAAATAATAAATAATAATTAAATGATATGAACTAGTGTGAAGCAGTGTAAAACTAATACTAAATTGTGCAATCCCACTTGGGAATTGGGAGGGAAAGAGCAGAGATCAAGAAGTAGCGAAAGAGAAGATGGGGCATATTTTCTAGACGGCTTCGTGGAAGATGGTAGAACTTAAACTGAGGCTTTGACAGTGGCAGGAAAGGATTTTATGTCTCCTGGGGAGGGAAACACAGGAAATTAACTTCACCCAAACTGTGGAAATCTGTTTAATTCCAGTAAGAAATGATGAGTAACTTGTCCATTTTTAGAGACAACCTGGCACTGCCGAGATGTTAAAAATCAAATACAAAATTAAGGAGTCGAATTATAGTAATCGTCAGCAGAAACTTCTACAGATGGACCATAGGTGGAGAGCCAGCTAGACTTAGTTCCTGGGCCAGTCCACCATCCATGGGAGTGAGATCTTAGTGTAACTTCCTGATGTCTCCTTCCAGATTTGGGGGTGGAAGGGAGAGGGGGGGTGGGTGTCATTGTACCTAACTAAATTCCTCGCATACTATGTTCTAATAGGAGAATGTATTAAAGTCTCTTGATGTTGTTTAGTTGATGATCTTGATACTGATGAGATATGTAGATTTCCACATAATTTACATGCCCATTACCATTTTGATTTCAAAATATCTTTCAAGCAGGAGCGGGTTGACTGGTGTTTCCTTATTGTATTTATGCCTGAGGACGTCAATTTGGTCACTTTAATGTCATGGGTCTTTTAAAATAGTCAAGTTTGTCATTTTCCTTCTCTTTCATAGTGAATAATGTTGAATGAGAGGTATAGGGAAAGCTTGGGGAAGCCTGTAGAGTCTTGCTGAAGGTAGCTGAGTATTCTGCTTTGGGATAAAGGAATCCAGGAGTCTCTGAATGCCCAAGTGTTTTTGGTGAAAGAGGAAGATGGGTTGTCTTAATCTGTGATTAATATCTTTTTTTCTCAGCCTTGGACAAAGATGTTGCGTCCGCTAAACTGCTGTATGAACATTTGACTGCGAAGAATATAAAATTAAATGATTTATTTCTAAAGCGTTATGCAGTACTGATGAAGAATTTTGGAGAGTCTGTCCCTTTCACTGAACCCCCTGTGAGTATTTCTTAATTAAAGGAAAAAAATACCTCCACAGATTTACCTTCATAGTAATGTATAAAAAAAAGTTGAATACTTAATTACATGAGGATTAGATCTCTGTGAAGAACCCTCACGGGAGGTCTTTAGGACTGAACAGTCATTCCTTGAATTTGGCTGTGGAAGAACATAGCCCCCTGGGGCTGAGGTTTAAAGTACAAGGTCATAGGCCCAGCAGTCTTGACTACCAGTTCACAGTATTTTATGATTTTTAGTACTGTACCATCACCTTTTGCTGGCAACTTTACCTCTAACTTCCCTCCCTTTTTGTTTTCTTAACAGGAAAGTTTTGAATATTATGTGAAGCAGCTAAAGGAAGCAAAGGAAAATCTATAAAACAGGCTGGCACTATTTTATTTTGTATATGTTTGTGATTCTGTCTACAATGTTATTTTTTAAATGTGAGAGGAAAATAAATAAATGAAAAGTTACTTTGTTTTTGTACTTTTCTTTATTCCCAGTACATGATATGTTTAGCATTTCATTGACAGTAACTCTACACTTAGTCATTAGACTTTTCTGGCTTTTGCCTACAATATAAGTCTACAACACTTTCTTTGAGGCTTCTGATGTATGTAGCCATAATTTTTGAGGTTTTTTTAACCCCAGCTGATTCGTATGGTCCCCCTGCTCTATTTCATTGAAATGTTGTTCCTTTATTTAAGATTTTCTTGTTAATATCATCGAAGCTGAAAAAATTTGGAGCTAGACACAATGATGATCAATGAGCTTTCTCTTGCTTACTAGCCTGCAACATGACAATAATTTACATGTGTGAAACCCTGCATAATTTTCTAATTTTGTAAAATGTTGCCCTTCAAAGCATCTTGGGAGTCATCAAATCCAGTGCTCTTTGTTTTCCATTGAAAAGCAAGCCTGAGGTGACTGTTGCTTGTCCTTGGTCAGGGTGCTCTGCTGGTACCTGAGGTCTCCTCACCAGCCTTGCCTTTCTACCATAGTGGCTTCCATGAGCCTCTGTTCATGGAAGTCTCCATTGCTGACTCTTTGCATTTTCATTAAATAGAGCAGTGCCTGTGCTCTCTCTCATTTTGGTTTCAGGTCTTTGTCTATTCCCTACACTGGGCTTGTTACTTTATATAGTCATATCCTATCACTGTCTTATTTCACATATAAGGGAGTGAAATCTTGTTTTGTATTCAATTTTATCAAATAAAAATTACCGCAGAATTGGCTCTCATGCCTGTTAATATCTACATTTCAAGTAGTTGCTTAGAAAGAATTTAAAATGGGTAGTCAGGACAGTTTACCAGTGCAAAAGTATCTTAGGAATATTGACCTTTTAGGGATAGGTAATTAATTACAAAAAATTCATTATTAAAAGTTGAAGATGTTTTATTTGAGAGTTATTCCCATTTTGGTGTGTTGTGTCCATTTGAATTCGGAGACGACCTACCGTTTTGGTTTCAGTGACCATTTGCTTGGTTCCCTCTGTGTGCTCGAGGGAAGATGTGGCACCTCACGCTCTAACCCATGTCCTGTAGGACCAGCCATCCTACATCTGCAGCCTGAGATGGCATGAGAGGGGGCTTTTCTTCATCTCTGTTTTGTAGAATTAGACCTTAGGAATTGGGGCTCAGCCCATTCTAGAGGACTTCGTGAAGTTTCCATTTGTGCTGTGGTATGATACTGATGAGATGACTGACAGTACAGCCACATCTGTATGAAGTGACTCCAAGCCATCCTTCTATATTGACTAGCAAAGTGTGGGTATAATACAGAGGAAATAGGTAAAAACCCCTCATGTAGCGCTCTTAAGCAGCAGTATGGGGCCATTAGGTATATGACATGTATTAACAACTATCGAGTCATGTATCTTTATCACTGCAGTAGCTCTCTTTTAAGTATAAATATTTAACATGTAATAATTGTATATTTAGGTGGGCTTATGAATGCTTTTATCTAATAGCTAAATAGAAATACAGTGTAAACAATCATAGCGTTCAAATGTATTTTAGATCCAAATTATAAGCAATTAATTTTAAAATGTAAATGTTACTATAAACTTCAGGAAATTTGGTGTTGTGTATATATAATTGCAAGCTCATGTATTTGTACTTAATAATTTTAATGTGAAATGCTTTGAATAAATTTTATTTCAAAAATCTGTGAACAACTTCATCATGATCAAGTTTTTGCATAACTGTTTAAGCCATTTCAAGGACTTGTCTTCAAATGTTTAACTAAAAATTGTGTGGGGCATTCTGTTGTGACCAGAATTTCCTTGTTTCACACATATAGTATGTGTGGAGAACCAAAAAAACCACTGCTTATCTATTTTAAGGGCAAGTAGATACTTGATTTGAGATCTCTGAGGCACAGAGGTGACACGAATTAGAGATGAGTGAATGGTAAGACAAAGGGGGGTTTATCTTGGTAGTATTAGAAGCATTTTACATAGAAAATTGGAAACACACACAGCTATCTTCAGCATATTTTCCTTCTCTGTTCCATCCTCTCCTTACAAACGCACACTGAGGCCAGCATCACTGTTACCTCTCTGCTCCTCTCTGTCCTTTTGTCCTCATCTAGCACATTAATTGTTCTCTTTCCAGAATCCCACACCTAAAAGCAGAGTAGTTATCATGCAGGTGGTGAGCTCAAGGACGAGTTGTCCTCAGGCCTGCCTGGAAGCCCACAGTACATCCAGGTATCTGGTTGCTTCTGTATGGCACCTGAGAGCCTGCTGTTAAGGCATCTCTGAAAGGGAGGTACATTGAACAGGTGGTTTTTCCTGCCCCCACTTACTTGTAACCCCCTCCAGGTCCCAGCAAGCCATGAACCAGTCTTCTGATTGGGGGGTAACTGGGGAGATACATAGTGGGAGGGGGAACAAAATGGGGGGAGGCCATTCCTCGTACTTGGCAAAGAGCGGCAGCCATTATCTTGACTTTATAGAGGATTATATGATATATTTTGGATTTTGAGTCTGTCCCTCCCCTCTGGGACATGGGGTAAGCTTTGAGACTTAAACTGCTCCATTTTGGCGCCCAGTCTGTTTGCCTGGGCATTTACCCCTGAGGGGATGGATAATTTTTGTTTTATGGGGAACTTCCTTGAAATCCTTTCTTACTGTATGCATACCAATCTTACTAAGAACCTTTCCACGCTAAGAGTCAACTTCCTTTGCCTTTGTAGGCACAGATGGTCAGACCCCTCTTTACAGCATGCCCCCCTTAACAGTTTAGGGTTCCTGGTTACCCCTTCTGTCACATGCTAACACTACTGCCAAGTGTTAGGTGCCCCTCTTTCTGATAAAATTTGGGCCTACAGAAGTCAATTGCCCAAAACCATATGTCTAGCTCTCAGTGACTAGTCATTGACTTCCTGTGAGAAGGCAAAAGAAAGTACAATATAAGGCCAGCTGAAAGTTAAACTGGAATTTCTAAACTAAAAGAATATTTTTAAAAACCTTCCAGATTAATACAAGTGTTTCCAGTCTCTGGACAGTTTGTACTTATTTTTTCCCATTTAATCAAATACCCAACGCCTGGCATAATCACCGAGTTCACCAGTTCTGGTAAATTATTAAGCAAGCTTCATATTGCAAATTGTTCTCAATACAATTTATTTCTCAAATCTGCAGCATGTGTACTCTGTACACTTTCTCAGGTTTGAGCACAGTTTTCATTTAATATTTGTCTTCCTGACAAACCAATATTTATGGTTTCTATAAGGGAAAGCAACATTCCTGAAATATGGTAGAACTAACAGCTGCAGGGGGTACAAAATCACGGTAATTTATCGCCTTGATGTTGTACAATCATGCACTTGAGGTTTCCATTAGAAATGTATCCTGCTTTCAGGACTGCAGACTTTACAAAGCCCACATTATGCAGCCTTAGTTCAAAATAAAAGAAATGGTTGCATTAGCAAATTCAAAATAGGCACTTATCTTTTTTGCATGAAGAAAAGACACATCATGGGTCCAGGTAGAGCAAAAACATTTAACCAACTTCAGACTTGTTGCCCCTGAATATTTGGACAAGGATTGGCTCTAGGGATCCATCCTTAAAGTGTTGTTCTCTTAAAAGTGTCTTTTTCAACTCTGCTCCCAAGACAAGGCTTTCTGAAATTCTCATTATTTACTTGTCTCCTGCCCAAGTACATGAGCTCTCCAGGAGCTCAGCCGACCCACCAGTGAGGGCCTCCCTGGCAGGCACCCAGTAAGCATCCTTGAATCTGTAATGGGTGGCTGAAGCCAATTGGCCTGTTTTAGTGCCCCCTGCTGCCCTGTATCAAATCAATGGGCCTAGCCTGTGTCTACCTTTCCAAGTCATGTTCTTTGTGAAATGGAAAGTTTGTGTGCATGGGAGCTTTCCTCACAAACGCTCGTCTTCACAAGAGATCAAAGAGAGCGCTTTGTAGCTCAGTGCTAGGAGAGCTAAGAACTTGATGCCCAAGAAGTTCTTTTAAAATATCCTGTGCCCACAGGAAAACATTTTCAGTTTGCTGCCAGGAAGAGGACTCCCGAATTTGTGATTAAAGGCAGACAACCTCCACCTGGAAACACACAAGCATGGAGTAATCAAAACTAACCAGCTTTACTTTTAACATGGGACAGAGCTTTTTAGCTGTTTGCATAAGAAACTTTGCAAAAAACTTTACAAAAAAAGAAATGATACAAACATGAGCACAATTACATAGAAATCTGAAGAGTGTTCCCCGGGCTTTAAGTTGGTATGTGTTTAAAAAGAAAAATCAATTGATTAAAGATCCTTCTGACTATTCCACAATTCATGAATGAGGCAGCATCCAATCTAACAGAGTAAGGATAGATGGGCCAAAGGGAGCAGGAACAAGGAAGCTATGCCAGGCAAAAACGATGGGCTGTGGCAAGGTGGCTTTCTTTTAGGGGACAGCAGCTGTCTGTCAGGCAGACACCTACCTACCTAGTGCTGATCAGGCATTTGCTGGTTGGTTTAAGATAGCATTTCCGGGAGAGCTGAAACTAAATGAGTCTTGGTTTGGTGATGCAGGGCTTAACACTTTTGACTCCATTTCAGGGGCTGTTGCTGGTTCTTTAACAGTTTAATTAGTAGCTGCTAATACCACATGCCCTGCTCTTCCAACCACCAGCACGAAGTGGGCTGTGCCTCACTTGCCAGCTTCCCCCACCAGAGCAACCTCAGGCAGCGATGTTGTGATAGACGAGGACTGGGGAAGTTCCCAGCCCCCAGCCACTTTAAAGGAGGGACCAATTATTTTATAAAAAACAAATAACAGATGACTTGAGCTTCTGAATTACCTAGTTTAAATTACTAACGAATAAGAATACTTTCTTTCAGGCAAGAGCATTGGCTAAATAAGCAAGGTGCTTCCTCAGCCCCAATTCCAGTCCCTCTCTCCCTGCTCAGCCAGCTTCTGGCTCCAGGCTCATGGGCCAGAAGGAAAGTGGCACCTGTGGGCTGTGCTAAGCAACTAATTTAAGTCTCAATAAAACATGTAGCCAGGGTCTGGTGAATTCTCTCACCCTCCCATGCTTCTGACTGTACCCAGTGCTTGTATAAATAAATAAAATAAATCTTTAAAAAAAAAAAAAAAAAAAAAAAAAAAAAAAAACATGTAGCCAGGGTCTGTAGTTAACACTTGGATTTTACGTGTGTTTAAATATCACTGCTGCCAGCTGTTTAATCTGGGGTCAGAAGAAAGAAAAAGCAAATGCAAGATCTACTTCTGTAAGCCTGACCAGGGAGACTAGCTTGACCCAATGCAAGATTATGTCTTAACTAATCTTTGCAGGAACAAACACAATTAAAAAAAAAAATCACATCAGGAAATATTTGAGTCTATATAGGTAATCATTTTCTGCTTAATTAAAATTTCTCCATCAATAGCATCACTTGAAATCAGAGGGTTTAAAAATGCAAATTTTAAAACCTTTACCTTTTGATCAAGGAACTGCAGACTACAGCCTCGGGCCAAATCCAGCTCAATGCTGGATTTTGGTAGAATGTTTTATTGCAAAAAACCTGCCCCATTCTTGAGAATTGTGGCAGCTTTCCTGCCACAACAGTGAGCTGAAAGGTTATGATAGCCACTCTATGGCCCATAAAGTTTAAACCATTTACTGACATTTAATAGGAAGAGTTTGTAGCCCCTCTGGCAGTCACACATAAACAGATCTCTACTCCCTCAGGTGCAGGGAGGGACTCCCTGAACTCTTGCCTCTAGAACAGCAGTTCTGCTTGACCTCTCATGCCCTGGAATCAATCTCTGGGGCTGGGTCCACACTGCTATTTGTTAAAGTTCCAGAGTGGAGAACCAGAATGCTCCAGAAACAACAACAAAACAGAGATATTGTGGCACTAGAGTTTCTCCATCTCTCCTGGTTTGGCACCTGACCCTTGCCCCCTACCCCACCCCCAGGCACTGAGTTATGAAAGTCCTTTGCAGACTAAGTGGCTATAACTCACAAAGTTAGCTGATGTACCAAGGTTGCCATCAATCCTTACTTCATGTTGGAATCACTGGGGAGTTAAAGTCTGATGTCCTTTGCCTTCTTCCCAGTTCACCATCCAGGCCTAAAACCACTAGGTGATCACAGGGGAGTTGTAGTGTGATGTTGGGGAGTTGTGCTGGCCAGATTCAGGTGAGGAAGGCATCCATGCAGTTCAAGGACAGTTGACAGTTGATATGAGAGTCAGAGAGCAGGGAGAGATGGGCATCTAGCCAGCTGAAGGCATGTACTGTAGATGGGAGATTGATAACCAGTCTCCCAAATGAGTGAGCCAAATAAGTGAAAATATTAAGGATATGGAAGCTTTTCACAGTTGGAGGATGCTGAGTTACAATTATGAAAGGGAGAAATTCAAGCTACTTGATTAGAACCAAAGATGTTGATATGAGTGTATGATACATGCAAACATGCACGGAGGTATGTGTGTGCACAGTACATATTCACACCTACATGTACATCTATATGTACATGCATATGCATATGTGTAGATTACCTAGTGTGGTCCACTGAAAGGGCTGAGAGCAGCCCGAATAGGTGGATCATACTCATCACTTACATCTTGATTTCTAAATACCGGTTTCCACTAAAAGGAACCATAATTCTTTAGAGA